CCCTCATAGTCTTCAGCCATTGGAAAAAGTCTTTAATAACATTTCCAACATACAACCCAGTCATATTGCCAGATGAGCTCCTGCCCATAGTGTCTTCATGTGAATGTTCAATAACTGGGCGGAATGTGGGACAGATCCTGCTGGCATCCAATAGTTAAAGCAACCATGGGGCCAAACCCTACACCAAATCACCACCTCTGAGGAAGGAGCAGAACCACTATAAAACAAGTTTCCAAATCCTCAGCCAATGCAGAAAAATTCCATGTTTGATGTACTGATAGATCCAAAGAGACCAGGACAGGCACATTAGTTCTGTAATGATCGTGACATACATCATCAATCAACTGATACCACCTTTGTCCCATACCTAGTCCTGAATCCTGACAGATGAGGGTTGAGATAAAAGCAAACCACTATTTCAATAATCTTTGCTAAGAAGAGAAAGGAAAGTATCAGACACTTATCTAATATATCCAAATCTACACAGGGCCCATTAAAGAGGGGGTAACCCAACACCTCCTTAAGGAATGCAGGCATCAACTCATCCTGCATCGAGGCTTTCACAACCTCCAAGATCCAGGGAGAAACCTGCTCACCTCCAATCCCTAGCTTTCTGAAGAAGCCAAGAGGAACAAGGATCCAAGGACATTTTAGAGAGCATCCTATTTACCTTCTCAGAGAAAACAGGCCAAAAGGGAATGCAGGTAATCTGGCAAAATGCCTTGTGCTGGTCAGACAGTATACAGTTAATTGGGAATTGGGAGCTGTCCCCCTAAGGGAATGCCTCATGGGAAATGTAGTTAATGCCTCATGGGAAATGTAGTTCATGTCATGTGGTCACATCTGTAATCCTGATTGGTCACTGAATTGACCTCTAGTTGGGTTGGGGGAAGCCTTTGTTCTTTCCTTGCCTGGACCCAGCAGCATGCTGGATCCTTTGCTGTATCATTATGGGATGAAGATAACCATATTTTCACACTATGAAGACAATTATGCAAAGATTGGACATTAGATGAATCTCAACATAACTGTGAGTTATACCTTGAGGATGCCTATTACAATCCAATAAAGAAACTTTGTATGGAAGCCTTTGTAGAGTTTATCTAACTGTCTTTATATTCAGCCAGAAAGTTAAAGACAGAATATGCCTCAATAGAACTCAAATACAATCAAAATTAAAGCAAAATATTGAGCAAACTAGTTACAGAGGACAGATGGCAGCTCCTTTCCAAAAGGGAATTAACCACCCACAAAAGGCTACCAATTGATAATCGGCCAAAGCAGTAAGAAAGTAGAAACAGGTATGCTGTAGAGCAGGAGTGTCAAACTCGATCCCATTGTGGGCCATATCATGATTTTGTTTGCCTTTGAGGGGCCTGGTCATTGCAGCTGACTGAGTGGGCATAGCCAGGGTAGGCCAGGGCAGCACGGGCTGATTCCTCGCTGTCTCCAGGAAGCCCCACGGTACAACTCTGGGCCTATTGTGGCCGGATCTGGCCTGTGGGCTGTGTGATTGACACGTCTGCCATAGACTATGCTCAAACCCATGTTCAGTAAAATTTAGTCTACCTTATATTCTACCAATACACTGGACATTGTTTTTGCTAACTCATCTCATGAAGTTCTCAGTAAACAAGGGGTTTGACCAGCAGGAAAAGGGAATCTAAATGGGTCAGGTCCTCCAGAAGAAATAGGTGGCATCTGGATCAATAAGTAATCTGTCCATGACAAAGGGCAGATAATAGTAACATCCATAACCAGATTACACAATTACTCAAATGCAAAATCTAAGTTTAACACGTGATGTCCACATGCATCAGAGTCAATATAACCTAGGATCGGCTCTTGGTTGTCATGGAGGCCAATGAAATTCCTAGCTGCAAGACTCAGCCCCTTCCACCTGGAGACTAAAGTTCCCCTGTACCAACACATGGCAAGGGGGAAATCTCTATCTCCAGTCTAGCAACCAGGTCTAGTTACTTAGGAAGGGATCCTAAGGAAGTGCACAGCAAGTGGTATACCAAAAGTATTCCTAGCTTATCCTACTATCTAACTGAACACATAGACATTCACATCCATTCACATTTGGAATAGCAATCCTTGCTGCAGATAACACATCACAGTAGATCAACACTATCCCAGCCTTGGCAATGAAGTTACTACAGGCCTGACATCTGGCTGGATAGATTCCTAAGAAGACCTCACTGTTGTCTCTCAACTGGGTCTCAGTGATATAATCCAAATTGCCCACTTGTCTACTACCAAATCAGTATTAACCAGCACCAGCTTGAAGCCAGGTGCCCAAAATCTGGCTACAGGATCCCAGGTAGGGGCAACTATTTCCCCTCTACTTAAGGGTGTCCTGTGACATTTTTCTTAGCTCAACAAGACCATGATAGTGCACTGTGTTCCTTTTCCACTGCACAACTAGCTTTAATCCTATTTGTTATGGCAACTTACATACACCATGTTCCTCTCTTTCTCCACAATTCCTTGCTTCAGTCAACCAAGTTCTATAATATTTTAGTATTTCAGAATTATGAGCAAAGAGACTGTATGTACTATATTAAGTACAGCATGCAGTTTTTTCTTAGTCTAAACCATTTATGAAAATGGAAAGTGAAGAAAACTATACTTTCATCCTTTGGAAATAAACATAATTCACATACAAAACAATTTCAACACTGTGACTAGTATTGCCAAATGAATGTATTAGCCTGAATGTATACTAATGTTCAATTGGCAATACTAGTCATAGTGAGGATCTATTTATTTCTAGGCACTGTTGCAGAACAGAATTTGATGTGCATATTTCAAAGCAAAGTGAATAATGTGATGACATAAGACAAAAGTGCCATAGAACACCTGACTGAGAGATGAACAGTTTAATAAATTTAATAAATAAAATAAACCAGATATTCCTAGAAAACAATAATGTTAAATAACTGCAGTAGTTTTTTGTTGTTGTTGAAAAGTGGGGGGGGGGGGGGGGGGGACTAACGATATTTGTTGTCTTTCTGGTAAAATATTATTTTGTGAATTGGTAACTTTTTCTGTGGCTGGCCTTTATGAACATCTCCATATCATGTTCTCAATATTTCACATGGGCTCATGAATCATTCCATCCTGTTTAACTCAATTTGAAAGGACAACTTTGTGGCACAAAAATATTTTATTATTTAGCAATTAGCATGTACTCGGTGTTGGCATTTCACTTTTAATGTTAGAATCATAACTGTCACTAATCTCTCTCTCCACACAATTAGTTTATAATTGTGATAAAAAGAGTTATCATTGGTAATCTTAGCCTGAAAATCTATTAGGAAAATAATAAATACCTTACATGACAAGTATTCTGAGAAGCACAAATGATGCTAAGATTCAGTAGCAATAAGAAGAAACAGATAGAAGGAGGTGATTACTGCAGTAGCACAGAAGAATGTCAGCAAAGTCAAACTGCACCTGACATTTCATCTTCCAAAAGTCACAAGGCCTTAATACTGCCTGATCCATTTCACTAAGTGTACAAATATATGTCCTTCCATTATCATTTTGTCCAAGGACCAGAACCAATTCCTGCATTAATAAGCACCAAATATAGCCCCCATTCTTCACTTTAATTATATTTAATCTTCTGGCTGTAATATATATTTCATATTCTCGGCTCCCTTTTGTGCTGTTCCAGAGGGAAAAACCACTACCTTTCAATGATCTTTCAAGGCTTGTAAATTTCACACAAGATTTTCAGGTTTAACTTTTTGCCTGGCTTTAAAAAGCAAATTTTGGGTGCTCCCGGCCTAAAACTATTTTTCTTTCCATTCCTCATCTGACCCATTGTTACACAGCCAAGTAACTTTTTTTTTATTTTTCTTCTTCCTCCTTTAGCGACTTTGGTTTAGCATGGCCAGGCTTATCAGGAATCGCCTATTTTCAGATCCTATCTCCTGGAAGTTCAAAGATGGGGTTTCATTTCTTCCTGAAACAACCAGGAACTTGCGCTTTGGCGCCAAGGCAAATACTGTATCCTCTTCCTGAAGCCCCGTTTAGATCAGGGAAGGGCCCGACCTGTTATTATACTCTTTACCCTGAATAACCTTGCATCCTCATCCCCCCCCCACACCGCCGAAGAAGCTAAGTTTCGCCTCAGCACCCAAACCCAAAACAGGATTTCTCCATCCTCCAGCTCCACATTCCCATTCGCCCTACAGTTTTTCCTGACAAGAAGCCCCTCATCCCCGGAGGTCTCGGCCCTCAGTCCCCTCCGCGCTCGGCTGCAGCCTTCTACCTGCGAAGAAAACGAGAGTGGCCCCTACAGGCAGCAAGAGCGCATGGACTCGGCAAAGGCAGGTAATTTGGGGACGCAGCTCCGGGACAGAGGAAGAAAAGGCCGCTCCCAAAGCACAATTCAGAGCACTTCTAGCTCTACCATCCAACGCCCGAGGCCGGGAAAAGGCTGCGGCGAGCGAGGCCGTCTGGTCCAAGTGACTTGCCAGCTGCGATTGAGGAAACGAGAGCGGAGATGCGCTCGCGCAACCCGCGCCGAGGATACGCGCCCCTCCATATCACTCTCTCTCTCTCTCTCACCCACCCACCTCAGAGACTCCGGCATCCTTCGCTCCTCTCCCGAGCATACATCCCCCGCCTCGTCACTCCCCACACCTTTCAGCCAATTCCCACCTCCACCCCAACCTCCGTTGGGTTCAAGCGACCCACGAAGTCAAGTTTCTGGCAAGCTGCCTTCTCTAGCCGTCCCTTCTCGCCCCGGCGCGCGCGTAACTCCGGTTCCCCCCCCCCCCACACACACCCAATTCCTTTTTTGTTGTTTTTGCACCTCTCGCGCACATCTTTTCCAACTTTTTCACTTGCCCCACCCCCGCCCACATAGCTTTCGGCGCCAAGTTCACCTTCAGCAACCCTCTCCTCTCTTTTTCGCGCGCGCTCTCATCAGAGCAAAAGGTACGATTTCTCTCCAGACTCTGCATTAGGCTGCGCTGACTTACCTAGGGTCCAAATCTGCTTCCCGAGCGTTGGAGCGTGCTTTTCTGCAGCTAGAAGTATTATTATTATTATTTTCTTCTGTTCCCGCGGCGATAGGGGGATTTTCTGGCTTTCTTTAAGCGGCGCGCGTTCTCGTTTATCTTTCGAGTCCGCTGCGGCTGAGGCAGCGGCGCGTGGAGGTAAGGACTTATCTTAGCCGCTGCACCTGCTGCGAGATTTCGCAATTGCCTCAGGCTTCAGGCAAAACGAGGGTTTCTGCAGCCCGGGGCTCTTTCAACTTCTCGGGACTTCTTCTCTTTCCCTGCCGTCGTCCACTGACTTCAGAATCGGCTTCTTGGCATCGGCTCTGTCCGTGGACCGCTATGACATTGAGTTTTGAAGATGTTCTCCTCAGTCTCGCGCGCTGCAACAGTCCAGCCCAAAGTCCCCAGAGAGAGAGAGAGATGAGAAGATCAGGCGGCGGTGAAATCCATTTCCTTCCACCTCCCGGGCCGAAAGCCGCTCCCAGAAGCCCCCGGACGCCTTCTGACCACAAGCGCTGGACAGGCTGCCTAGATCATTCCATGGGGCAATCCCCATCTCCACCTCCCGGCAGGCGGGACTGAGTCTCCCTCCCTCCAAGCCGTTTGGCCACTTAGAGGCTCTCTCAGCAGAGGGGGAGGGAGGGGTTATCTGAGAGGCGAGTTGCGACTGTGACACAAGCAGCCTTCAGAAAGGAAACAAAAAAACAAAAAAAGGGTCAACGCGAAAACGGCACGTGGCTGCCAATGGGCGGGGGTGTCCTGGATGGCGTCCAGGACTCCCAACACCATGACAACGGAGGGGAGATTTACAGTAGTACCTTGAAAAACAAAAGAAGGGGGAAGAGGGTGCCAGATTGGTCTGGTAGTTTAAGGTATTAATGAAACTAATTGTCATTTCTATACATTCCTGAACATCGGCCATCCAAGCAAAATTTGCTGCAGCAGTCAAAGCAATACTAGACAGCCCTGCATCCTTCCAGTTCCAGCTGCCACTTTTCCTCTGTAGAGTCCAAAGTGAAGCACCAAACTTGATTGCAGGAAATACGACTTCAGTAACAGAGCGGTCAATGTCTGGAATACTCTACCTGTCTCTGTGGTTTTTCCCCCAAACCCCAAAAACTTTAACCTTAGACTGTCTACTATTGACCTCACCCCTTTCCTAAGAGGTCTGTAGACAAGACCCCACTTAAACAATGAGTCCTGGCTCATTGCTTTGATT